TAACGTGCGCTTTCCGACTGATGCGTATTTCGCACATGGGCCCGGCCAGGCCATTTAATGTGTTTCCGAAAGGGGCGAAAGTGGTGTGTGTAACCCAAGAGGGGGCTTTAGGGGTTGCTTATATAGAATTTGGGAATTTTGAGATTTAGAATAGATGCCGATGGGGTTGGGGAGGAGAACTAAGGGAGCTGGGTATGGTGGATGTTTGTTTGTTTATGTGATTTTGATTTGGTAGATTATTTTGTTTTTAGATGCGTTTTATTAGTTCAGTTTTGATTAAGAATACGCCTAAGGCCTTGAAGTTTTCTAGTTTATTTTGTGGGTTTAGTATTGCTTCTAGAGTGAGAGCCTTGTTTAGATTGAGGGTGGTTTGTAATGCGGTTCGATGTGTTAGGTAGTGTGTTCAGTGGATGAGTGTGTGTTCTGGGGTGTCTAGTTGTTTGCAGTGTGGGCAGTTACCTGTAGTGTGTTTTAAAAAAAAATTTAGGTGGTTATTTAGGTCGGTGTGTCCTGTTTGGAGTTTAGTGATTACTCGGTCGATTTATTTTGATGGATGGAGAATTTTTGGTTTGGTTAGTGGTTTGCTGAGTACTTTTTTGATATGGCTATTTAAGTTTATATCTAGGTTATGCCATTTGTTGGTGATTTTTTGCTTGTTTACACTTTTAATTTCTGATTTTGAGATGGGTAAGTTTAAGCTTATTTCTGGGATTTTGAGGGATAGTTTAGCTGCTTTATCGGCGTTTACATTACCGTATATTCCTACGTGGGCGGGGATCCACAAGAATGTTATTTGTTTGCCTGCCTTAGTTAGGTCGTTGGAGCTTTTAAGTATTTGATTTATTAATTTAGGACGGTTTTTGGTATTTTTGTTTTGGAGGGCTTGCAGTCCACTTAGGGAGTCGGTAAGTATTAGGATTTTTTTTGTGGTTTTTTGATTCTTGATTATGGAGGGCTGATGCCCATTAGTTCTGCCGTGAATATTGATCGGTTGTTTGGGAGTCGGAAGGATTGTGTGGTTTTAGTTGGTTGTGTGGTATGGACTCCGAAACCAGTGTGTTTGGAGGTCAGATCTGAAGATCCGTCCGTGTAAAGGTGACACCAATTTGGCCAATTTTCTGGTGTGGAGGTTTCAGCTATGTGGGTCGGGTTTGTTTATTTATTTGGCCAGCTAGTGTTGTGTTTTTTTGGGTTATTTTAAGTTTAGGGGTGAAGATATTTGATTGTTTGCAGTTTTGTTTAAGATTTTTAATTTGGTGTTCATTTAGGTAGTTTGTTATTCTTTGGGATATTGGGGTAAGTAAGGGGTGTTTACGAGCTAGAGCTTGGTTTTTGGGGCTGATGTTTTGGTTTATTAAGTTTTGGATGAGAGGGTTTGATTGGGACACGGCCCAGAAATTTAAGCTTAGCTGTTCCCTGCGTAGACTTAGTGGCATTTCTCCTGTTAGGGCCTGAAGTGAAGTGTAGGAGGTGCCATGTTGGGTGCGTGTAATTACTTTGAGAGCCTGATATTGTATTGAGTCAAGATTTTTGGATAGAGAGTTGTTTAGGGTGTTGTATATGGCGCAGCGGTAGTCTAGTTTTGATCTAATTAGTGATATGTAGAGAGAGAGGAGGGTATCTTTGGAGGCTCCCCAGCTAGAGCCAGTTAGGCATCTTAGGGTGTTTAGGTCTTTACTGCATTTAGTTGTTAGGTTTTGGATGTGAGCATCCTAGGAGAGATGTTCATCGAAAATAAGTCCTAAGAATTTAGTTTGTTTTTGAAATTTGATTGTTTGGTTGTTTAGCTGGAGGATTGGGGAGGCGGGTTTCATGTTTTTATGTTTGAATACTATTCCTGTGGTTTTTTCTGAGTTAATGGAGAAGCCCCATTTGTCAGCCCATTGTAGTATTTTTTTTTAAGAGATTTTTGGAGTAAATTTTGGGCCATTTTAATGCTTTTCGTGAGGATCCAGAGGGCTCCATCATCTGTGAATTTTGATGTGTTTAGTTTAGGGGATTGGCCCTTGAATAGATCGTTTATCATTATATTGAAGAGGGTGGGGCTGAGGATACTGCCCTGGGGAGTGCCATTTTCTAGGGGACATTGGTCCGATAGTGTTTGGTCTATACCCACGGTTATTTTACAATTGTTTAGGAAGTCCTGGATGTAGTTTATTATCTGACCTTTGAGTCCTATTTTTTAAGTTTTTGTATTAGCCCGTTGTGCCATACCATGTCGAAAGCTTTAGAGAAGTCTAAGAAGATGCCTTTGGTATATTGTTTATTTAGTTGTCATGTCTTAATATCTTGCTCTAGTCGGGCGAGGTTATCTAGGGTTGAGCGGCCAGGAGTGAAACCGCTTTGATCTGGGTTTATGATGTTATTTTGGGTTAGGTAATGTTGTAATCTATTTTTAGCCATTGATTCCATTACTTTGCATAAGTTTGAAGTTAGGGATATTGGTCTATATATATGAGTTAGCTTGATTAGCTGGTTTATTAGGTTTAGGGATTGGTATGACTAGGGCCTGTGTCCAGGGAGTAGGAACCTGTCCGTTTAGGTAGATGAGATTGTATAGTTTGAGTAGTGCCTGGAGTAGTTTTAGGGGGAATTATTTAATTATTTGGTAAGAAGTTAGGTCTAATCCTGGGGCTGTGCCCTTTTTCCTGTTTTGAATTACGTAGAGGAGCTCCTCCATTGTGTAGGGTTGGTTTATTTCTAGATTGTTAATGTTTGATTCTTTTTATGGGTTTGTTTTCTGTTTTAAGTTTATCTTGGAATTTTTGGCTGAAGTTGGTGTTACTGCTTAGGGCCGAAAAGTGGTTGTCGAGATTATTTGCTTTTTGGGCGGGGTTGGTCGAGTTGTTAATGTTAGGGGTTTTTATGTCGTTTTAACCCTCTAATGGCGTGGATTTTGCGCCAGACCGTTCTGGCATCTGTACGGTTATTTATACCTTCTCAACAAAATTTCCAGTCTCTACTTTTGGCTATTTGGACTAGTTTTTGAACCTGGTGGTTTAGTTTGTGGGCTATGTTTAGATGTTCGTAGTCGCGTTTTGCTTTATTGAAGGCTGATTTACGTTTTCACCTAGTCTGTTCTATTTCCACATTTCACATTCCACCATGGTACCGTGGGTTTGCCTGTCTTAGATGTTTTGAAGGGGATGGAGGTTTTGGCTGCTTTTATTAAATAGTCTGTTAGGTTTTTACAATATGTTTCTGGTTCATTATTTTCTATTTCGTTTAAGTTAGCTTCGTTGCAGATATCTTGGAATTGGTCCCAGTTAGCTTTATTGTAATGGAATTTTGGTTCTTGGTTTTCTGTTTGGATTGGTACGTTTGTATTTCCTATGGTTATGTTTATGGGGAAGTGGTCACTACCTAGCGCTACGTCGTGCACTTCCCATTGAGCTAGATCTGCGGTGCATATGGTTAGGTTGATAGCCGACGTTTTTTGGTTTATCTTATTGTACCTCGTGGGTTGGTTGTTATTTAGGAATACTAGGTCGTTTGTTTCTATCCATTCGGAGATTAATTTGCCATGATTATCTATTTTATCATCTATGCTCCATGTAGGATGGTGAGCGTTAAAGTCTCCTAGGAATATAGTAGACATCGCTTTTTTGGAGTAGTTTGTTTAGATCCTCAGGTTGGACTTTTTGTTCAGCCCAGTGGTATATATTTATGATGTTTATTTTTCGGTTATATAATGTGATTTTAGTGCCGTTGGCTTCTAGGTTTGGCGTGTCTATTTTTATTTCTTTGTCATTTATATCTTCCCTGATAAATATGATTAGTCCTCCTGCGGCTCTTCTTGTTTTTGGTTTAGCTCTGTCAGTTCTAACTGAGTTGTAGTTAGGTAGTGTGATTTTGGATTTTTTTTAGAATTTCGTTTCTTCGATACAAGCAATGTGAGGGCCTTTATTTAGTTTAAATTTAGTTTTTAGTTCATGGCCGTGGGAGGTTAGTCCGTTGGCGTTCCACTGAAAAATATTTAATCCTTCCATTATTGGGTTCGGGTGATTGGTTTTTAGTTTTTATTTTAAACGGTGACTTCTTTTAGATGGAGGTTAAAGAGGAAGAAGGGAAGATTGGTTAATTTTAGATTGAAAGCTACTTTGTGGAAGGATTTCATGCTAGCTTTTGATGAGTTTTGACTATGCATGTATGCTAGGAGTAAGGTGAGGTTATTTAGGTTTTGGGTGTTGGCTGGTTGGGGAGTTTTGCGGTTTAGTTTTTTTTTTCCTTTTAGGGGCTGAGAGGGAAGTTTGGTTTGTTTTAGTTGGAGTAGTGTCTATTGTTTCCTCAGTAGTGGAGAAATCTTCGTCATCGGTTAGATTAGGTTTAGCTGTTTCCATAGGGGAGGCATGTGATGTGGAGGGTTGTGTAGGTGTTTGCGGGATGGATGTAGCTGTGGATTTCTTAGTGTTTGTGTTGTTGTTGTGCTTGCTTGTGGGGGAGTGTTGTTGCCATGTGGGCCGTAGGGTGCTTGGATGAGGGTCGTGTTGTGGCGGTCGTTTTGTCGTTTGTTTTGCATGCGGGGGTTGATGTTTTGGCTATGTGAGATGTGGGAGGGTTCATGGTTGGTTGAGTGGCTGCTTGTGTGTGGGAGGTGGGGGCAGGTTTCTCGGTAGGGGCCCCAGACAGAGCTGTCGGTTATAGGTGTGGTGTTTGTTTGTTGGATGGTGTTTGGGTGTGGTGTAGGGAGGAGTGGTTTGGATGCGGGTGTAGCAAATTTCCGTGTTTGGATTTTGGCCGTGTCTATGTTTATGTGTTTGTTGGCCTGCTGGGTGAGTGTGTGTCTGTGTGGGCATTGGTTTGAAAGTGAAGTGTGTTGGATGGATTTGCAGTGGATGCACCAGGGTGTGCATGTGCCTGGGCAGTCTGTTTGTGCGCATTTTTTACATTTAGTTTTAGGGTATGTGCATTGGGAGGCAGTGTGATTGTATTTGAGGCACTTTGAACATTGTTTAACCTGCTTTATATAGGGTTTGACTTTAAGTTGGTGTGGGCTCCGAAGGATATGTGTTTTGGGGCTTCAGGGAATTTAGCGGGTTTTTTTAAGTTGATTATGACAATGGGACCGTTTTTCCGTTTCTGGTTGGTAGTCAAACTGCACCTACTTATATATCCCGGTTTCACCTGTTTTCGGCGATGTACGAAAAGTGCGCGGTAAAATTATACACGTTCAAATAAAATCAATTCATTTTGCAACAATCATCTGTCAAAGGATATTCACTCACATTTTAATGACGACACTCTTCAAATTTAGCTGTCGCCTGCTGCCATTACTGCAGTGGCCCATATTTGGGAGATGCGTCCTACGTCACCTGTTTTCGGCGATGACATTTCACACGAAGAATGTATGGTGCACCGTTGATGAAAACCAAAATTATGTTTTATACACAACACGTGAATGTTTTTGGTGAAAATACAATGGAACTCAACGTAGTTCCAACATCAATTAAGAAATATTAAATGAGTCACTCCAACTGGAACATTTGAAAACATCTATGAATTTTACTCTTCAACCTTTGGCTCACAGTGGGCACAAAGAAATTGTGTATGAGTGCGGACAAATTGTAACTTCGTGCAAAATACTAGATGCACCCAATGTCCACATTTTCTGCACTCTGCCCACTTCACAAATGTGATTGTGTCAGTGTACCGTAAGGCATCAGGAGTGAATTTCCCGCAAACACAACAGACATCGTCATCATCTGTTTCACTGTCTGTGAAACTAGGTGGGACTACAGGTGTGCCCGTAGCTTTGGCAGCAGTACCATCGCGACTAGATCTCTTCCCCTTGGCTTTGTTGTTATTGGAAGAATTGCCTTTTCCCATAGATATATCCACGCCTGATGTTGTGGGCTGGTCAGTGCATGGATCACGTTGACTGTCCCGTTTCCTCTTACGCGGATTCTGTTTGCCGACTTTATTCTGTTTATCCCGATGCGCTGTAATTTTGTCAAGTATTGTCTGGTCAGTTATTGCCTTCCCACCGACGATTTTACTCAGTGTATTTCTTGGTTTAAACGTTTTCACATTCTTCAAGACTTCGCCACCCCGATATTCCAGAAAATCTCATGCAGCACAATCAGTATTGGCAACAACTGCATTTACTTCCAAATCAGACGGCGGGGGCCTGGTAAAAGACCGGGCAGGCATGACAAGCAAGTCATCAACAACATCAGAGTTGAACGGGTGGATTCCAGATTTTCTGAAGGAAGATACAATGTTAATAGGCGTCAAAGTGGAATTAAACACTTTACATGCTATCCCGCATGTCATGTTTACTGATGGCTCTCCCGGAATTTTCTCTAAGAAATGAATGACAGGCTCTAATCCAGGTGGTCTGAAAAGGACCGTAACACCCGATATCAAGCGGTTGTAAAAGGTGACTGGTATGAGGTGGAAGAACAAACAATATGATGTGATTTTGCCTCGCCCATTCAATTAAACCAAGTGACACGTGACTCTTGTGGCCGTCATATAATATAAGAACGGGTGAATCTGCTTCACGAGCTGGCAGGTATTTCGCCAAGTGATCCTTCATGTAGGTGCTGAATACGTCCGTATTCGACCATCCTGTCTTAGACACAGTGCCAGAGGCTCCAGGTGTTGCTTCAGACAGCAGTTCTTCTCTCATCCGTTGACCAGGAAATACAAAATAAGGAGGAACATTCCCGCCAACTGCACTGACAGCTGCAATCATCGTGACTGTTTTAGACTTTCCCGATGTCACGGTCTGTGCCTTGCAATTAACACCGGCAACAATCTTGGGGGGTGTAACGTCGGTAGAGAGGCCTTTCTCGTCGATGTTGAAGATAGCATGAGGAGAATTATCAAAGCTGTGTTTCTTTATGACCTGTGACAGCTCTTCAAAATACCTCGCAATGTTCTCCTTGGTCGCCGATCTCGCCCTTGCAGCCTCAAGTTTGCGTGGTTTCTGGACTTTAAGTTCTGGCCATCTATCAATGAAGCTGTACAACCACCGTAAGCTCAATGGATGAGAACGATCCCGATATCCCAAGTGGACAGCATAGTCACTCGCAAGGTTGATTGTCTCCTGACGAGTGTAACCATAGCCAATCTTCCCCATAACCCGAATGTGACTGGCCAAAATGATTCCTGTGTTGCTGTAAATAACGGCATCGGTCCCGACTTGACTGTCGAGGCTGACATTTCCGAGAAGACGGTCTTTAAGTGTTGAAACTGGAACACCCCAAGTAGTATAGGTAATGATGGTTCTGGCTCACTTCCACTGGAGCCGGATTCATATACCTATACCATCACTATAGAGGGAATTTTTTATGCCAAAATGATTATGCGATTCAACGATAGTCATGAGTTGTATTAAATGAAACATCAATATTAATTAATAATGAATAAAATTTACTATAGCCCACGAGGATATTGGAAAGGTGTAAGAGCAATAAAAAAATTAGCCACCGCGGCTAAGGTATCTAAAGATGTGGCCAAGGATAGGTTAAAGAAACAAGCGATGTGGCAGATATATTTACCAGCACCGCGTTATATACCGAGGAAGAAGTTTGATATTTTTACGACGAATGAAGTTCATTAGGCTGACCTCTTGTTTCTTCCCCCCGATAAGGTAAAACGCAAAACGTATAAATACGCTTTAACCGTAGTGGATGTGGCTAGTCGATACAAAGAGGCTGAGTCGCATATATAAACGCGGACCACTAAAATGGCCTAAGCTATTTCAAGTAGATCCCGGTCGCGAGTTTATGGGATCGGTAACTAAACTGTTAACAAAGCACGATGTCGAAATCAGGCGTGGTGAAAGAGAGGCCCACCGCAGTCAAGCTATCATCGAAAGATTTAACAGGACATTAGCAGAACGTTTGTTTGGCTATCAGTATGGGATCGAAATGAAATCGGAACGATTGAGATCAACCGAATGGGTGACACGATTATCAGCCGTTGTATCAGCGCTGAATAATGAAGTAACGAGATTAATAGGGAAGAAACCATCCGATGCTATTAAAATGAAATCCGTGACTTCCGAATCTTCAGCACCGAGGAGAGGCAAAGAACGAAAACTTCCGGATAGAGTAAGGGTAAGATATTTATACCAGGCAGGTAAACTCGAAGGAGGCCTACGTCGCGCAACCGATCCCATATGGTCCCTTAAGACGTATAACATTAGTCGATTGGTTACGAAAGAAGGAGAGCCTATTCTTTATTATCTTCAAGATGGACCGGGTAGGGCATTTGTACGAGAAGAGTTGTTCATAGTTCCCGACGGTACGGTATTACCACCATAACCATAAGCATAGGTAGTTACACCATCATTATCAATCCATCTCTTTGTATCTAAGGGGGATAATGATGTCTTGTTCATTCTTAATCCATATATCCTATGATTGTAACTTCTTAAAGAGTTCAACTCGTGTTTGAACGTTCTACCGTTAAATAATGATTCTTTATACTGTTCGTGTTTGATATGCTTTTTTACAGCATACTTCTTAACACCCTTGGCTTTTCTTATCTCTCCATTATCGGACTTTTTTATAGAATACATCTTAGGTCTTAATCCCACATACTTCGCTATAGGGGTCCCAGCACATTCATCCTTCATCTTACCTAATACCTTTTTATTTACAACGCTGTGCAGTGGATTATCTTTTGGGTAATCGCTCGTGTCGTACATATCTATTTTTTTTGCCATATCTTTATACACATCCTCGGTTTGTATTTCCATCAATAAAGAATCTGTGTCGGTATATAACACCTCGCATCTTTCGCCGTATTGCTTCTTAAGTTCTTTGTAATAAAAGTCATACATTAAGTGTTTTGACAAGTCGAGAATACTCATACCGACGTACACCGGTCTGTTGAATTTTATATTACTTTTCTGCATATGCAACGCGGCTAAGTCGTTATCGAATATCTTGCTTCTGTTAAAAGCCGGACTGGCTATAAGTTTCCTGAGTCTTTCTTCCTCATTAGATCTGACTAATTTAACATCAACACGCTTCCTTAGATTCTCCATAGTTTTACCAAATACTGAGTTATTCATGAGCTTATACAGATTCTTTTCGAAATCGCTGGTAGCTATCTTTCGTAAATCTGTGTTCAACCTTATATAGGGCTCCATCCAAGGGCTTTGATCATACCTAACGATAGATATAACTGGAGATTTCTGTAGTGAACTATATATTTTGTCTTATCCATCAAATTTGGTACAAGTTTTTCTACGTTAGCTAACCTACTATTACCCATCAAGGAGTGTTGATATTCCGACATCCAGTCTTTATTAACCATTAATCTTTCGGGAGCTAGCGGATAACAGCTATGATCTTTATGTAACGAACTTGGATATTCCAAATCAACTTCTAGTATGTACCCTTTATTCTCATTATTATGGATATTATCGATATCATTGACCCATTCAAAACCACCCGTGGGTAAAGGTTGACTCATAGGCCATCCGTACAAATTGTTAGCGTCGAGATATAATATATGAGTGTCGGGTTTACTAGGATCGTATCCTTCCACTAATTTATTATTAGCCTTAGAATACCTTTTAGCTGCCATCGATATACCACCTCTTAATCCTTCCTCAATAAACAAGTGCATATCGTAATCTGTGAGTAGTTTTAGTTCTACGCCGGTCTTCTTCAACAATGAATCCCACGATAGTACCATGCCGGGTCCAAGCCGTATTGTTTTAAACATGTCTTTCTAAATATCTCGAATATATCGGCGAGTAACAGTACATTGGTTTTTAAGTACAGATCGTGATAATCGCCTAAATTCTTACAACCTAATTTATCCCAGACCGTCAGAGCGTGTTCATAATCGGCATCTGTTATTCTAGATTCTGTTAAGTTACTATAGAATGATTCGAGGGGTGGTAATTCAGTTTCTTCGAATCTAGACCAATCATCCATATATTCGTAAGGATATACACCTTTTCTCGGCAACAAATGACGTGTTATCTTATCGGTATATTTATTTGTTATCGCAAAGTCATCGGGATTCTTCGCATTAGCTAAATTGTCCAGGGAAGATAACAGAAACTGTACGGAGTCTATGAATCTAAGCCCATTACTTTGCTTTATTCTAGATTTCCCATCCTTGTCCCTATAATGTATAGGTTTAGTCAACGAGAACGATATGTATTTTTCCATATTATTAGGAATGCACGTTTAACCGCCGTCGGTCTTTGAGATAGCTTGCATAATGAGATGTGAATCATATCCCCTAAGGTTATGAAACACAACGGGGATGGGTATTGTTTGAGAATTCATTTTTAGTTTCAAGTTACACTCGTTATGAGCGGCTCCCCGATAATTACCCGTGACGTGACAATGATCTCTTACGGAATCCCCATCCAGGGGTTTATTACAAACATGACAACTCGTTGACTTCTTATGGGCCCTCCAATCATCCCTCGTCATACGCATGGGTTTCTTACACGATAATTTGTCCCTGATTATTCTCTCTTCATTTTGTAGATATTCTAGGAACTTTCCCGCTGCATCGGGTCCTCTGTAAATCACGGGCGGGTTTGTTTTCCCATCATACCTTACAACTATATATCCAAACCCACAAGGAATATGTTCTTGAGTTTTGTACGTAAAACTACTATCAGTATTGCTATGGTTGGTATTTTCTATGGGTTTGATAAGCGCTTCGAAGTCGGCGTAAATTACGTACGGTTCTGGCATTTGATTACAATAATGTTCAAATTTTAATATATTTTTTCCCTCTTTAGGCATATCGATCCTGATAGCATTCTGTCCAACACCTCTACAGTCTTCTTTATGCGCTTCTAATAGATCTTGTCTGCTGTACCCATGTAGGCATCTTTCGCAGAAATATTTCTTTTCTTTATGTTTTGTTTGATCGTATAGTAGCCTGTTTAAACTCTTTATCCATGTATAATGATATTTGCCATCTTTTTCGATCAGAAATGAATTGATTCGGGGAATATGTTCCGGAGCGGAGCTTATCCTGTGTACAACAATTCCTTTAGAATGTCCGAAAACATTTATAGCTAAATTATTTTGCTATTGGTGTAGGTTCGTCTATACCATCGAAGTTGAGTCCATCGTTTTGGGGATAGCTAGAAGGTCTATCCGGATTTTTGTCTACGGGGAACAATGCAGATTTTATCATCATTCTTAAACAGTCATCGCTTTTATTTTTTACGTTAATTATGGCTTTTTTCTTCTTATAATACGGGGGTAAATCTATATAAGATCCACCTTTGAAGGGCATATAATTCGCTATATCTAAATATAAACTATCGATTTTATCAACACCCCAACCAGAACCTCTATTAGTCCAGCGTTCTAAAGTTTCCTGTATTCTCTGAATTGATGTATCTAATGATGAGTTTATAGTATCGGATTCGGTTATAACTTCTTGATTGCTACGGAAATATGGTTCGGTATATTTGACGCTATCGTCTGTGTTACTTTTACTCAATAACATTTTAATCGTCAGCTGGTATTTTATACTATGTAAATCATCTAACTTCTCGTTAATTTTGCTGGATATGATGGGCTTAATATCGTTAACATCCATGTTGGAATTAATATCCATCTTCCAACCTCTTAGATATTTACCAACGTCGGAGGATGTGGGTACAAATATTAATTCTTGTTGTTTATTCTCAACATCATTATCAATATCATCATCATTATGTTGAATATCATCAACATTATCATCATTATTATCTAGTAAAGTGATCAATTCAGCTCTTCTCATTCGAGAATAACCTCTCAGCCCACTGTTTCTCGCTCGAACTTTGAGTTCTCTAACAGTCTGGGGTTTGTTGTATTCCAAACCGAGTAAGGTAATCAATTCAGCTTTTCTCATACGAGAATATCCACGTAGGCCACTTTGCTTTGCCATAGCTTTTAACTCTCTGACAAAAACCATTGTGGTTGAATGGTATATGCAAAATGAGACAAATGTCTAATTGGTTGTTTTTCATATATCTAAAAACGTATTCTCCCCAACCTATTCCTCTCATTGATGTAATCTCTCTTCCTAGCATAAATAATCTGGTTCCTGACCCTATCAGCACCGTGCTTCTTACATAAACAATAACGACCTTTGACCCCTATCCCGCATTCAGAACACGTTTAGTTTATGTGTCCGCGCCTGATGTAATAATTGTGTATACCGCAGTAAATATCAACACAGCGTCGATTACAAAGAGTCGTCTTCCCCATGAGTGTAAATTTGCAATTATTCATGGTATATACATCTATCATATCATT